TTGTAGCAGTTTCATTGTGTCACAAACTCGATTTTATTATCCCATTAGATTCACAAGATCAGGTAACTACTTTAAGATCTAATATTTGCCGTATTAACGAAAGTTTTCCTATTTACCAAGGACGTATAAACATTATTTTTAGTAAGTGCAACAGTATCAACAGTGTTAGCTTTTTATGCAAGTACAAACCAATTCTGTAACTAATCGCGGTGTAATACTTCAATAATACCAAAAGGTAATTAAAAGCATCCTGTCCAATTGATTTTGTTGATGAATTTAATCATCACAGACTGTGAGCTGGTCTATAAAGTGTCAGAAGGTTACTAATATAAGTAAGGCTGTATAATGAATGTAAAAAAAGGTTTACATTAAAACTGCGACAGACTGTTCCGATATAGTCATTACTTAAACCTTAATATGACGTTATTATGGTATCATTTGGTATCTGATAGCATACACAGCAGTGAAGCATGCACTGAACAAAGCTCGGGAATATTACATTAAGTACAATGGTAAAGAAACTTAAGTTCAAAATAAGGTGATGTATCATGGAGTGAAGATTTCTGGCAACAACTTGAAGCCAAATGCGGACAAAATTAAGATGATAGACATATCAAATTCATGCGGCTGATTATCTATCTTTCACCTTTCATTCCTAAAAAAAGGTGACAATACCATTGACAACTCATTGGGAATGGAGTACAACAGTGTTGGGGGAATTTCCAGAGAGATGCATTAGCACAGTTGAAAGAATTCTTAGCCCGGATGTCATGCTCAAGTTTTATAATGAGCCAAATTTATTTAGTATCCTGTCTTCACCAAGATGATCAAACAGATTTTTATGCATTAATACTTCTAATTGAGATAGAGCAACATTACGCGAAGGTGTAGCTATAGTTTTGCAACACAGTGGTTCCACTACTTTACATATGACATAGAAACCATTGTACACTCACATCGCAAAGTACTGAAATATATACAGAAAAATGCTATCCACAAAGTGTTGCCTTCATTACAACTAATTATGTTCAAACTACTGAGGAACAAAGTCAATATTGTCTAGAAGCTCAGAAACAAGATGTACATTACAGACACCTTAAACAAACCTTGAAGTCGCTATCATAACAATCTACTTATTACTTGGATTTACATTGTCGCATACGACTTGTTTACCACTTCCGTGTGACTGAGAATGTTCAAGAACCGTACTGTGTCTGGGTGGAATTTTTAGAAACTGGTTGAATAGGTAATGGAACATTCTAGAAATTTGTAGTAAGTTCCAGACTCATTATTTATGCTGATGTAATGGTCTATTTATAGACAGTGTGGGTATATATAGGGGAGTTGTTCAGCACTGAGATCAGATCGGAGATCTCGTTGAATTGTGTTGGAGTTTAAGTATCTAGTTATTGGAGGTTTGGAGTTTTACCGAGTTATTGTACTTGATGTTTGCAGAGTATAATAATACCAGTACCAGTTGAAACCTCATCTGTTGACTCCGTGTTCGTATGTTATCATCGCCGCCAGGGAAGTCTTTATGTTACTGTTGCCATTTTGGTATTTGAACCATCACACCTGTACTATACCAATTACGGTAATACGTTGCGTGTGACATACATTAAGCAACGCCTTCTCGAGTTCGTTATGAGACTATCGACCACATCAGTAATAAACCAGTAGAGATCTTGTTACGGTCGTATGTATTGCCTCTATCACATATTACAACATCTATACCATCAGGGGATGTAGTACGGTAACACGTATCAACAGCAACAAATTCATAAACAAACGTATGTAACTCTGGCGATGACAAAATAATTACATTGACGATTTCAGAATAAATGGCAGTAAATTTTCTCTTTAGAAAACTGTTCTCTAAATCTCGTAATTGTTACCATTTTTAATAACACTGTTTTATTTCTGATAAATGTATAAAATTCCCAATCGTCTTCTATCAAACAGCGTTTCCATACTGCTGTTAAGAATAGATTCTAGTAGTAGTAAAGTCTAAAGTCTAGCCAGCACGGACTGCCGTCTTCACAGAACCACATGTAATTTCATTGTCCTATTTCTTGCTGACGCATTCTGACCTTTGACACTTTCAACACTATCAACTTACTTCAATTCAAGTCCCACAAATCGTGAAAATCTATTTGAATCGCATTCAATATTATAATTTTATGCGGTAATGAAATGTGTCAGTTCAGAGAACATCTAACAAAACTACGTTTCCAGAAAATACTCAAACTTGTCGTAGGGTGGCGCTCTATCTGATTTGCTTCCAACAGCAAATTTGAGTGAAAACTTTAGAAAATTGGTCTCCATGATATTCTTTCTGGTAATTACGTCACAAGGGTGAGGTGGTGTATAACTAAATATTGGACGCTAAAACCGCTGACAATTTCCTATCTTAGGGCAAGTTAAGAACAGCAATGTTTTATATGCAAATAGTATCTTTTTGTTTGTGCTCAATTTGTATATATTGGAAACGACAAAAGTATAGCATGAATGGCAGTATCTTACAAGGATACACAGGATAGATGAGTGATACATTGATTGCGACAGACAATACGTTATGGTTCAGTTCACTCATATAGACATTGAAGTAAATGAGACGGATAATATTGTAAGGAAGACTTAGCGTACTTTATTTGGTGTTTCCATGTTCTTGGTAGACTGTGTTAATTCTTTACTGTCACCTCAATTCAAAGCTGCAATACTTAAATGGCGGTGGTCGTCGCGCCGCGCATGTGTTGATAAACATTGATATCCCCACACTACAATATGCTTTTCTAATGAAAATCTCGAAGAGCTTTGATCTGGACGCGACGTGCACTAACTACCGCCAATAACTTACCTTGCAATCTCCAAAGAAATTACCTAATTGCACTTAGTAACCTTTTAGTTTCTACTCGTTGGTCTGCAACAGTCAAAGTCACAATCTTTGTTCATATGAGACCCATATATCGCGCATGCGTTGTTGCGATGACCACCGTCCTTTAACACTTCGTTTCATGGGGCATTATCTAGATAATACCCACCGACCCTAAATACATAGATACATTTCTGTCAATTTTGGAAACCGTGACTGTCTGTGACAGCGTAACGTTGTCCACTAACGATATTTTAATATGCAAACACGTGTACGCACTTATACAAAAACATCCGGTTGTACGTGTTTGACCAATACAAAATGAAGCTGTCGTTGATGTATTCCAAGTCAGATAATACTCTCGTGTCATGCATTCGCTCACATAATCGCTCAGACAAGGGCTACTCAGTTGGTTGAAGACTACTCTATACTACCAGGAAACTATATCTGCCAAGTTCAAAATCACACAATCGGAGAGACATGGCCTAGTGTGGGCTCGTCCAGTTGTTTTGTGAAAGCCTATCCAGACACCATTTCAGAAGTCTATGTGGGACTGTAAAGGGCAATATTTTGCTTCATTAACAAACGTTAGGCAGTGACTGGAATGCACTCCTTAATTCGGCAAACTGGAAACATTCCCAACCAGGCATTGTGTATTTCCCCGTAACGCCTAAATACAGTAAACTATACTTCTACGTCAAATCATGTCATATTTCATGTCGACTTATTGGCCTGGTAGCCCAGTATTTGATTACACCACATAGTAATGCAAGCGGTCGTTGCATATATTTGTAATACAGGTTACGAGTCTACACACACCCACACACAAGCAGTTAACATATTGCCCAAACGCTGCAGATTCTCTCTTCTCCTCATAATGTTATCCACACAAAAAACACACGGTGTTTTGAAAAAAAAGATTATGGAATAATTATCAACAAAAACAAGTTACAGTGCATGTAAAGAATCTACAATATAAACTTTAATCAGTTGTTACCAATATCTTTAAGTACACAGATAATATATAACGAGCGTATGTAACACATTATAAAGATATAGTGATTAATTAACAGGGCGGTTATATTATTCGTTACTACTTTCTAAGCATTTATTGAGCCTCAGAAACATTTTCATTGACAACTTATTGTGTGATATCATGGTAGTATGATGTAATGTGACAAAAACAATTCATATCGCGAACTCAACCACTCACCAGGTTTATATTTAAAATGGTTTTGTTTTACGGCATCCATGTGAATACTACCTCTCCCCACACTTAAACTAAACTGACGAGGCACTAATTAAATTGCTGGTTGTGAATGATACTTGTCACGATCAAATACTCTTCAAAAGGCTAAGTCCGAAATTAGTAATTAAACTCAACATTTGAAATGTACTAAAATAGCTATCTGAGTGTACTTTCTAAATTCAATTCTAATAATCCAATGAATCAGTAATTAGTCTATTTTGAGAAATTGAAAGACTAGTTTATGGTAGTCAGACTTTGAAAACACTATTTAAAACACGTATATGAGATACATCGAGAAATTAGTGAGGTGGTATGGATGTTGCTCATATGAATTATACTGTAATGTTTTCGAAAACAATACAGCGACATTAGCGGTGTTGCTAGTAAAACGACAATTAATTTTGATGTGGCATTTTCATTCAATTACAATCAGTGCACCGAAGAAGAAAAATATTTTTACTTTAAAAAAAATGTATAATAGTTTATTTCTTGTCAATAATTAATTTGCATGATTGTAATGGGCCGGAGGCCATTATACAATTAATAAATTATTATATTATTACTATAATAGTTTATTATAATATTTGATTCCAAAAAAATGTCCACATGTAATGTTGTAATTTGTCAGCTGGCGCCATGATGTCTGCTTTGTAAATAAAAATGTTTCGTAAAGCTCAAGAAACGAACAAAACACATTAGCACTTGGAATTCGAACAGCTGCCGAATGCGCTCAGTAAATATGAGTTAGACAAAGCGAGAAAAACATTTTATTACTGTTCAGAAATCGCATTAACAGTCTGAATAACATACATATAGTTATGTATTATGCTTTACTGTTGATGGTTAGTCAATATGCTTTATTAAGGATAGTATATTTACACAACAAGGTTACAAAAAAATAACTTTGCTATCTCAAATTCTTACTTTGGCAGTTGCTGTATGTGTTGTTTGTCCAAAAATGTCTCATTCGATGTGGTGTTAACAAAAGACAGTCTAAATGACTTGTGCTAAATTTCTTCATCGTTAGATCTACAGAAATTAGTGTACTTATAACGTTCAATCCTAATCGTGGGTTTTATTTTCTACTCAATGTGTTTTCATTGGACATATCGTGAAACGTGGTTGATGAATGAAGCTCACTTCTTACTGAATTATTTGAAGCAAATAATGAAATTTATAAATCTTTTCTATCATGACAGCACTAATTATGTCTCCTATTCCCACGAACAGTAAATATTGTATAGTAAATGATATTTTACTTTCACTACAACTTATAGTGCTTGGACAAAAAAGGTTGAATTTAAGCTTCCTTTCTGATTAAATAAATAAATGTTTAAATAAATAAACAAATAAAATAAATTAAAATAAATAAATGTATCTGTTTCTTTTCAACGTTTTTCTTCAGTCATACACAAGACTTTGAAGCTCGGCTTTGCTGATCATATCGTCACCTATAAGTGAGATATACAACTCGTATTAGTATTTATGTAAACAATGCATTAAGGTGAGTTCAAATAAAGGACAGTGTTTAGCGTATATGGAAAACAGCTCACTCGTAGCAGTGAATCAGTGCCAACGTTCTGAGTTACGGTACACATCGGAAATGAAGATAAAGCACAACCATGTATAAGACAAGCATATCCGAAGTAGTTTGTCATTTACAATAAATGGGTAAATATTTCAATATGTTTTGGGGGCTGTCAATCACAGAACAAAATTATAAAGATGCTCTTCCATAAGGTGTTTCTTCTCGTCCTGGGACTCGAATCAACAAACAACACATTTTCCTACGCGGCGCGGCGCACTTTACCAGAACGCAAGATTGTGGAAAAGAATTGCACTGAATCGCTTCATCGCTAATAGTGAGTGCGACTAATACACATACTATGAATGATCAGTTCAGAATGATGCTGAAGAGAATCAATCAGTTTTCTACAAAGCCCATCTTATATTACGTCTCGCGTTGTTATCTGTTGGGTTTAACTATATGGCTACCCATTGCACGGCTCCACCATGGGAACAACCAACCGAAAATAAAATTACAGTTGTAATATTCTCCATTTTTTTTGGCGAATTGTGAAGCAAATTATGATTTCAGACTTCAAAGCTTTGCATATCGAACTTCTGAGAAAATTAATCAAGCATTTCATTGACTCACGACATCGTATCAAATTTAGTATTCATCACCGTCAAAGAACACAATGAGTTTTTCATATTCTAATACTACACTGAAGTGGGAATGGGAATCTCGGAAAATATGCGCCGTATGTTTATCATTTGAAAATAGTAATTATGTTGGTAATGAATAACTGAAAGCACTATATCAACACTACCCGTCTCAATAGTTGAGCTACAGTTTTCGTATTTCATTTTCTTTATCTTGATGCATTTTTTGAAAATATGGAATAGGGACATTATTATCCTTAATGTGCTTGTCCGTGTTATCTCATAGTTTCACGAGCGAGGGCGCTACACAACATAGTTACCATATAAATCAAGAAAGTTTTTTGTTGACTGCGAGACCCGTGTTAAGCAAACGTAGAAACAGGACAAGTGAAGGCCATAAAGCGTCGTAGTGGCGTCAAAACACCGCGTGAGGTTCGACAAACGCAATAGCAAATTGGTGTATCTTAGCGCTTAGAGGGTCGTGGTCGTCGCGCCGCGCGTGTACGACATTTGTGTTGATAAATCATTGATTTTCCCATAATTCAATGCGCTTTTCTAATGAATTTACGAGTACGAGTTTTGACCTTGGCGGGACGTGCACTAATACCATAGATGACTCATTCGATACCTTCAATCACCAAAGTAATTACCCAATTAAAGCTTGGTAACGTCTCAGTTGTACTCATTGACACAACAGTCAAAGTCGCCATGTTTTATCGTATGCGTGGCGCGACGACCACCCCAACATTTAAGAACGTGCTATATTCAAGTTCAAAATCAAATCATTTTACCCCAGACTTTCGGTCAACGTCGTTCACGCAATATGCGGGATCTCGCAGTGAACGGAAAAGTACCTATTAGTATTACCATCTTGCGTGCTAGTATTCAAGTATTTCATATTCAACATAAAAAAAAAGATACTCACCGTTTAAATCTATGGCCTTCACTATTTTCCTGATCAGACTTGGCGAGCTTCGTATTAAGTTGACTATATCATCACTTGTGACCACGTTCCTAAAAGTGAAAGTATTCAATGTGAACAGCCTATACAGGCATGTAAGACGATTCCAAGCTCGGTTTAACGAAAATTGGGTACCAAACATTCTTTTGTTAAGAAGTAGTTTTTGACATGTGACGATGTTACAAAATATCGAATGATCAAGTGATGACGCCTCATTGTAGAGTTTTACAGTCACGATATTTACGTGAACAACGACGATGGCAGCGACATACTTTAGTATATAGTTTCTAACTATATATGTTGAAAATGTAACTATAACATCATCAACGGTCTTAGTATTATCTATCCTCACAATAAACATTGAAGGGATGGGCGAGAAATCAATGGTTAACACGAGGCAGAACAGTTAGTGAGCGGTTTAAGGACTGTCACGCAAACAGCGCCTAAAATGTGGAATCAGAGGAGGATTTTAAATGTGTTACGTACTCTGTAAAGAAAGCGAGCATTATATACATTGTCAGTGACACATTAATACCAGGATTTGTTTAAAATAATTGGATGAAAAAATGTGTAGTTATATACACGAGGAGTATCGGTGATGGGCGGGGTGGCAGGTATCGCAGTTGAAAGCGCACAACAGTAATGCATTGTAATTTGAAAAAAAAAGTTATGAATGAAATTTTCGTTCGGCCTTTTATACCAGCGTCTGGAAACTATTTCAGACAATGCAAAAACTAACAAAAACTGTGAATTGTGGGTAGTCACCACAGGAAGTGGCGAATATTCTCACTATCAAAAGATTTACTTACGTTTTGGCATCGCTAACAGGTCGTTGATACGTCGATAGTTCGTTTGACTTAGAAATAGGAAGATAATTTCTTTTACCAGCAGTGAGGACGTTCTTGGTAGGATTATCACAAATAATGCTCTGAAATGGACATTTGCAGTTGGGTGGGATCTTACATCCCACACCCCGGCAACATTGTGGCTGGGCTGATGTATGTGTAAAAAGGACAGCTACCAGTACCGCTGAGAATATAAGCATAATCGTCGTACGCATTCTACTTCTGCAAGATAAAAATACCAATCGTTGGGTTAGGTCAGAGACTACACTGTGTACATGACATTAATAGATATGGATATACTCCCTATACTGATATTCCTCATACACCGTACCTGTATACGTATGACTTATATATTTGCAATACATTTGATACACTGATTAAACAACGAGTGATTTCGTACAGCGGTGCGCCTTACATTGAATGTGATTATGCCAGTGACCATACAACTATTTTATGGTAAAACGTGGTTTCCATAACAACCGCCATGACCGTCACCCATGAATTACATTAGGCCTGATCAATGCAATAATAATATCTGTTGCCCCGTAATAAATGTGCGTTTCGTTTTCGGCTGAAAAACAATAACCACCACGAGAGTCTAATCCATCGATAATAACTGTCGTATATGTATGTCATTTATTTGTGTCATGTTCTTGGACTGCATTATAAGTGTAGTTTTTAAAGTTATTGGTTTCTATGACAACCACCACCTTGGACATCATATCTCATGAAATGTAATAATTAGGCCTGAGTAACATATGTTAAGATCATTTAGTTTTTTTTACGCCACGACCACCGCCTAGGGGCAGAGGTGTATCCTCACACGTAGCTAAGTACATAGCTGTAATAACATAATACATGTATTCAGTCCTAACGTGTTTAAAATCTCCGTATTCCAAATAAAAGGTAGCTAGTTAAATTATAGTCACAATACACATCATAACTAATATAAGATTTTCGTGTTGATCGTAAGGTGAGTTGATAGAAGATTACATTGGCTACGGGGATAATCTTACTTTCATGGTACGAGAAGCTTATGCTTAATCCGTAGAAAATATCTCACAAGTACAAAATATATGACCTGTTTAATATATGCCTACAAACAAGAAATCTGTTTGAATATTGGCAAAAACAAGACGTAATGTCTGACGAGAACAGAAAGGGATGGGGAGACCTGTGTCCATCAAAAGGCAGTACATACAACCACGGCTAATACATATATCCATAGAACATATTTCCGTCTGATTGCCTGTTATTTAATATACCCACACAAATCACCAATATGGGATTTACTTTTTCGAAAACATCATGTATACTAGTGTGAGAATGACCGTCAGTAAGAATCTAATCTAGGCGTCATTACCACCCCTACAAAGCGAGCCCAAGGAACGAACATGACGCCAGATGCATCTATGTAAAACGCCAAAGGCAATAGTATGATTTGAGAAAAACAAAGATATTTGTTTTTGTGCATACTAGATTACATGAGAAGATTTATGTAGATATTCAATATCAACTCAACCCGGGTAACCCTGGTAACTGGATTTCAAGAATACACACGAATACAATAGACGATAAACTCATAATTTTAGGAAACAATATTTGGTAGGTAATTACTAAATACATCTATGTCGCAACTAAAACGGTGATTTCGTATCCTGTGAAGTAGGTGATATCGTATCCTGTCGATAAAGTGATATCGTATCCTGTGAAGTAGGTGATATCGTATCCTGTCGATAAAGTGATTTCGTTTCTTGTGAAGTAGGTGATATCGTATCCTGTGAAGTAGGTGATTTCGTATCCTGTGAAGTAGGTGATATCGTATCCTGTGAAGTAGGTGATATCGTATCCTGTGAAGTAGGTGATATCGTATCCTGTGAAGTAGGTGATATCGTATCCTGTCGATAAAGTGATATCGTATCCTGTGAAGTAGGTGATTTCGTATCCTGTGAAGTAGGTGATATCGTATCCTGTGAAGTAGGTGATTTCGTATCCTATGAAGTAGGTGATATCGTATCCTGTGAAGTAGGTGATATCGTATCCTATGAAGTAGGTGATATCGTATCCTGTGAAGTAGGTGATTTCGTATCCTGTGAAGTAGGTGATATCGTATCCTGTGAAGTAGGTGATTTCGTATCCATGTGAAGTAGGTGATTTCGTATCCTGTGAAGTAGGTGATTTCGTATCCTGTGAAGTAGGTGATATCGTATCCTGTGAAGTAGGTAATTTCGTATCCTGTGAAGTAGGTGATATCGTATCCTGTGAAGTAGGTGATTTCGTATCCCCTGAAGTAGGTGATATCGTATCCTGTGAAGTAGGTGATTTCATATTATGTGAAGTAGGTGATATCGTATCCTGTGAAGTAGGTGATTTCATATTATGTGAAGTAGGTGATATCGTATCCTATCAGTATGTAAAGAAGGGTGATATCGTATCCTTTGGATTGGGTGTTATCGTATTCTGTGAAGTAGATGATATCGTATCCTTTGTAAAGAAGGGTGATATCGTATCCCGTAGAGAAGGGTGACTTCGTATTCTGTGAAGTAGGTGATATCGTATCCTTTGGATTGGGTGATATCGTATTCTGTGAAGTAGATGATATCGTATCCTTTGTAAAGAAGGGTGATATCGTATCCCGTAGAGAAGGGTGACTTCGTATTCTGTGAAGTAGGTGATATCGTATCCTTTGGATTGGGTGATATCGTATTCTGTGAAGTAGATGATATCGTATCCTTTGTAAAGAAGGGTGATATCGTATCCCGTAGAGAAGGGTGACTTCGTATTCTGTGAAGTAGGTGATATCGTATCCTTTGGAGCAGGCGATATCGTATCCTTTAGAGTTAGTGATATCGTATCACTTAGAGTAGGTTATATCCTGTCGATTAAGTGATATCCTTTCTAGTAGGTGATAAAGTATCCTGTTGAATTGTGATATCATATCTTTTTGAGTAGGTGATATCGTATTCTTAGAATTAGGGGATATCGTATCCTTTGAAGTAGGTGATATCGTATCCTGTAGAGAAAGGTGATATCGTATCCTGTAGAGAAAGGTGATATCGTATGTTATATAGTAGTTGAAATTGCATCTTGCAGAGTAGGTGATATCGTATTCTGTCGATTAAGTGGTATCGTATTTTTGTTGAGTATGTGATAAAGTATCATGTTGAATTGG